CGGGTCGGGGCCGGGCGCTCCTTCTCCTGCTCTCTTCCCGTCCCAAACACTGCAAGGGCAATGGTTCGGTCTGATGAAGCGTGGAAATCTCGGCTCCGAAGTGCCAGGGCCAGGCTTTTCCCCGTGGCTGGTAGTTTGCTCCGAAAGGGGAATGCGTGGTGTGATCTCGCACTGGAAAACACACGTGCGGGTATCCTGCCGTCCCAAACACGTCCCGCTTCCCTCTGGGGAGGACACTGCTTCCCGAGGCTGATTCCACACCAGCACCTTCCGTACTTTTTTGTCAGTTAACAGCAACTTGCTGTGAAAACAAAGTGCTATACAGCCGTTGCCACAACGTACCTGTAAAAATATATGTTGCTAAATCTTTTTTAAAAAATCTAATGAGCTGGCAGCTTTCACAAAACAAGTCTTCAGTAACGTATTTGTACCCACACAAAAGAACCATGTGAAATAAATACCTGTTGGAAGGTCAATCCCTTTTTTTACTCACTATCTCAAAGTTGTATTGCATTTCTGGGTTTCTTAAACAGAAGAGCAGTGCCTGTACCTGAGAAATCATGTTCTACTTCAGATGCATCCAGAAGTTGCTACAGTACCTGAAATTAGCAATTTTTTTATTTATGGAGAACTTCATCTGTCTGTTTCCTCTGCGCAAAAAATATTTTGCTGGTGAAATAGTTCTTATTACTGGTTCTGCAAATGGGATTGGAAGGCAGATTGCCTTAAAACTTGCTCCTCTGGGAGTAAACTTGGTTCTTTGGGACATCGATGATGAAGGTAACAAAGAAACAAGCAGATTGGCCCAGCAAAATGGAGCTAATCGGGTCTTTGCCTACCATTGTGACTGCAGCAGCAGGGAGGATATCTATGAACAGGCAGACAAGGTAAGATTTGCTTTTTGCTTCTGATTTTCTTGCTTCTTTTTAATAGTATATGCTATCGAATTTTTTTTTTATTCACTGAAGGGAAGTAATAATGTAGGGCAGTGTCTCTTTTTTTGACAAGTGGCTTCTGGATGGAATTTAAACTATGTTCACAATAAAGTAACTGGGTTTAATCTGTTCTGTTGAGACTTACTCATTTCCAGTGTTGACTGTGAGATGGTAACTTCTTTTAGAGTATGGTAAAACATGCAGCAAAGTTATCTCCGTATATTAGCTTGTTTAGGATTTAAAATATTCTTCAAATATCACAAAACAATGTTTTTAAAAACTAGAAATCAGTGGATATTGTAAGAGAAGAGTTCTTTGCTTTGCCCATGTGTTTAGAAAACTCTAGCTGGTTAAGGGTGATCTGTGGTGTAAGGTTTTCAGAACTGTCACCAGGACATGGCTGATCTCCAGTCAAATTTATGATTCAGCTTCAGTTTATTTTTTGGTCAATCCAGCTGGAAAGTAAGGTAGAGAAGAGCTCCATTTTAAATCAAACTCTTCTGCTGTGCTGACCTACACTTTGTAAGCTATTACTTTATTATTAATATAAGTCCAGAAATTGGTCATTAAATTAACATTATTAATTTTTATTTGCCCGTAAACTGCCTGAAGATATTTCCCCGTATAACCTCACTTATAATCCAGTTAGTCACTCTGTCATTTTATCCAAGGATAAATTCTTCTTCTGTTAAATTCTCAGTGTATGTACTTATATACATGACTCTCAAGTCACATCTTCGACATTCTGTGTCCAAAGGCATACATCAGAGAAATGAGCTGAAATAATTCATGACAGGTGAATGTTGATAGGTTGTTTCAGAATAGGCTTGAAATGTGACATTAATTTTCTATGAGTTGTCAGGGGGGAGCTCTTTGTTTTGTGGTTGTTGGTTTTCATTATAACAAAAACAGGTTAATTTCTTCTGAGCACAGCTATGAAAGTTTGCAAATAAATGTTCCTGAGGAAAAGTACTTCTGAAGGGTAAGTAGGATTCAGGATCTGTAAGTATCTGGAACTGCAATTCTCATACCTGCAGTCAGCAAGGTATTATTTTACCCAAACTTGTAAGTGGCATGTGTGGCACAACCACCTAACACTGCACAGAAAATTCCCTTTGGAGCCACTGGTGCTGGGTGCTAAAAACCACAGGTTGTATCATAGTATTACTTGGGCAGTGGTGGTGAAGATATATTTATTGTACCATAATAGTATGTCTGCAGAGATGAGCAAATTGTTGAGTGTTCTGTCCTATGCTGACACAATATGCAGTGTCAGAGGAGGATGAGCTTTGCCAATGACTTGGCCAGTACAGATGATGCAATCCTGTAACCTCTGTGCGACATTGATTGCTAGTGCAACAATTTTGGAGTAGCAATCCCAGTAATTTCAGCAATCTCAATATCTATTATCACTTTCTAGCAAGAAGAAAATTCTGTCTGAGCAACTTGTGGTCAGTTCTTCAAATGTGACATTGGATCTTTATTGGGAATGATACTATAAAAAAGCAGTTCTCCTTGAAGCTTACCTTAGAATTTGCCAAGATCAAATCTCTTCAAATAATAACATTTTAGGTTAGAATTAGATTCCTATTCCCATAAATACCATCTGCTTCTTGCAAAAACATGCACCAAAATGAGCACTTCAAGCTTATGTAGTTAATTTCTTTGTTGGGCGTCTTTCTCCATGCTGAACATTTTGAAATTATTTACTTGCACTTAATTTAAGAGTGCCTTCCAGTAATTTTCAATCTCCAAACACATTAACTCGATCAGCCACAGGGCTCCAGCCTGCAGAATTTGCTGTGCCCGTATTCACAAACACTACTCTGAAATGCACAGACTGACATGACAACAGAAACTTGAAGAGCTGTTTCAAAATCAGAAATTGCTATTAAGGTGTTAAATTATACCAGCGTCTTCATAGATGTTTGCATGTATTGAACAGTCACGATGGAGCCAGAAATTTTCTTAGATCAAGAGTTTTTCAGCTAAGGGCCTCCTCTGCTCTTGGAAATACTTGCAACTTTTTGATTGGTAATATGAAAAGTCTTGAGCTTGGACACAGGTGATAGAGCAATAGCAAAAAAGTTACATTAATGGGTTTTATTTGGTATACTAACTGCAGAGAAACCTAGGTATTTTCCCATAATGGAAGTTTTATTTCTAGAAAGCAAATCAGACCATTGAAGTCCCTAAAGGAAAGGGTTTAGAATAAACAGGTGAAGCAAACAGCAACTAATTTTGAGGATCAGGCAATGTCCACCTGGGAATTCTGATGGGCTAGAAATGTAGACTGTGTGTTTTGCTATAACAGGTGATCAAGAAACAGACAAGAGCAAATATTGCTCTAAAAAGCACTTGAGAGGACACAAACAACAAACCTGTCTTACAAAAATTGTTAGAAATTATAATAAAGAATTAATAGACACTTAAGGAAATACATAATATAGACTAATCAGCTTGACTTTTTGTAAATGGAAGCCAAGCTTCCTACATGTTTTTGACAAGTGAGTAAACGTGAAATGAAGCCAGATTAAATAAAATGCTGTCATTGGTGAAGCTATGTTGTCATGTGAAGAAAAAGAGGATCACCATATGGGCTGACACCGCAGTTAAAGGTATGAGCAGGGAGAAAGTACAGGTATATCCCACAAAGGAAGAATTGGGTATTCCTGCCATGCTTGATGCCAAGAAAAGGCTGGAAAAGAACTACTCACAGACTTGTCTCTCTGAGTAGCAGGTATTTGTTTATTCAGCGCTAGGCACAAGGGGGATCGCTCCACCAAAATTGTGCAACCAGGGACAAAAACTTCACAGTTTATATACGTTAAATGCTCATACATATTCATTATTTCCAGGAATGGGTGGTTATTATTATAATTATTTCTCAGACATCATTATCATATACTCCTCCTCTGTCTCCTCCCTCTTGGCATCAGTCCCATGGTCCTGGTGGTCGTTCGGTGGTTGTGAAGATGAAGCGCCTCCTCTTCCTCAGTACCCTTTGGACACCTTTATTTGTGCAATCATTTACCCCTTTGTACAGTTTTCCATGCCTTGCTGACCTTGCCTCTATCTTAAACATTTTGTTTCTTCATTCCACACCTTATATAGTCTTAGTTTTCCTCCTACTGCCAAGGTTTTAGTCTGGTTAGTTCTACTGTCTTATAGATAAGATCCGTTATTTTGCTAACTAAGCTAAAACAGTGCTATTAGTAAAGCTATTCTTTATACTTTCAGCTTGAACTGTTCCTTTCCTGTTTTCAGTCTCCTTCTCAATATCATACTCAGCAGTGTCTAGATTTGCATTCATTTGTGTGGGTGGAAAGGTGCTAGTGTCTGAGCCCTGCGTGTCTATGGCAAGGAGTAAAGCTGACACAGCTATAGGAGTATGAAGGAAGTCTTCACTGAATGCTAGGGTTCTCTGAGAGAGCCAAAGGAAGGTCAGATGTTGGGGCATTAGATCCAAGCACCTGTTTCCAAATTGCCAGACAGCAGCACACATGGGATTTCTATGTTTTTGTAGTCATACTATAATTTTTGAAACCCCAGATAATCATTCACCTCTAGCACAGAAGTCTCTGCAGTGAGACTGATTCCTGATACTATAAGTAAATCTTGACCATCTGCTTTGGTATAAATCCAAATCATGGGACAAAATCTTTTTATAACGAACCCGAATGGAGCTCATGGTGGCTTTGGCCTTCTTTCCAAGTGATGCTATCTATTTTGTAGTAGATGCTTTTGCACTTAAAGGACTGCTATCCCCCAGGAATCTCTGCTGAATTCTTTCCAGTTCAGTAGAAATGATCTGGCAAAGGGGTTGAACAGGCTTGGCTGAGGAAGGAAGGTTCTCACAATACCAAAAATAGGGAGCAAGATGTTTTCCAATTGCAGTTAAAGCATGCTCACAGCGCACACTAAAGCTTTGTACATTACCTTAGGTTCCTGTGGAAGCCAAAAGTATTCTAGAGTTCAGGGAGCAATTAGACAAGTTCAGGGAGGGTGGCATGGCAGAGAATCACTGGGATATATTAAATGCAAATATGTAGTTTCCTTATATCTCTCAGGAAGATCCTAAGTTGCAGTGTTTGAAAAGTTGAGTACAGTGGAGACCTTAGAGCCCTGGTCCATTTTTCACTGTTTTCCACTGAGAAAAAGGCTGTGGGACTAGATAGACCTTTGATCTGATGCAGTACAACAGTTCTTACATATGTTTTCAGGAGAAATATCAATCATTGCAAATATCTGAACATTTTCATAAATTAAGCACAAGATGCAAGGATACCTTCTAAAGATTTCTGTTTATCCTTTTTTCATTCAGGTTAGAAAAGAAGTTGGGGATGTTACTATTCTAATCAATAATGCTGGCATCCTGATTGGAGAAAAGTTCTGTGACATTCCAGATGCAGATTTTGAAAAGACCCTAAGAATCAACTTCTTTTCTCAAGTCTGGGTAAAGTTCTTTGGTTGTTTTTATGCTGGGTGACCAAAAAGTACAGGAAAATGTTTTAGTATGAAAATCACCATAGTGGTATCTACCTCAAAAAAAACAGTTTGGATTAGGGATGTGAAGGGCCTTGGTTGGGAGAATATAAGTTTTCATAATCATCCTGTAATTGGAAGCACACCAATTTGACAGACTCCCCACAGTGTTTCAGTAAGCTAACACAAACCTGCCTGGCCACTCTGGTAAATCAAAAGTTTGTGCAACTCTATCTTGAAACATACTCTGCATGTGACAGCTGTGTTGAAGCTAGTGCTAACATGATGGCATATGACTTCCCTGCTCCTGACGTTTGCTAGCATCAGAAGGCTTTGTCTAATAGACTTGTAGCATTCAGGGAGACCCAACCATGGTTTAGTGGTGGACTTGGCAGTGTTAGGTTTACAGTTGGACTCAATGGTCTTTAAGATCTTTTCCAACCTAAATGATTCTGTATTTTATGCTGCACATGTTGGTGCCAGTTTTTAGGCTGTGCTTTCATTCCTAGTCACCATCTGACTAAAGTACATAGAAAACTAATCTGGATAGTAAGTATTATCTTTGGTTTGTTTTCATATCTCTGAAGGAATTTGTTGTTATGTGGGACCTTTCAGTTGACCTTTAGGAGCTTTTGTTCTGAGGGAGTGTTGCTCTTGCCCCCTCATGCATTTTTTGTTTAAATACCTGTGTGAGCAGCCTGAGTGAGCATCAGGGAACAATATAGCATTGAAACTCCCTTGCTAAAAGGCATTTCTTAATGGAAAATCGCTGCAGATAGAAGTCCTCTAAGCATTCCCCAGCCACAGCGCATCATTCTTCCAAATCCGTGAGGCAAAGAGACTGAGAGAGATGTTCCCTCTGGCAGGTCTGAAGAGATACAGGGCAGAAGGATAGTGATGTACTAGCCACTCACATCTGGAGTCAAATAGACATTGTAGGGCGTCGCAGCTATTGAAAAAAAATGAAGTACAACTCTTGTCTTTTTGCTTATCTTCCCCTTCATAAAACACTAGTGTTCTCATATAGTTTGTATCACTCACAGTGGTGGTCTGGGGTGCTGGAGTTGTCAAGCAGTTCAGTTTGTAACACAAAGGGCGCACAGAGAGCTGAACTCCCCTTGATATGTTGACTTCTAGCTCCCTCTTGTGTACCAAACCTTTGACAGTAGTCTCAAGTAGACTCAAACCATTAGGAACCAGGAGGCAGAGGAAATGCAAAATTTGCTCCTTCTCATAAGACAGTTTTAATGCTAACAGATCTTCAGGTACAGGGAAGTCATTCAACAATATGCTGTCTCTCATTTAAAAACTGTTACAGAGATAAAAGGTCGATTGGGCTTCTTGTATATTGAAGCCTCTGAAAGTAAATCGGGTTGTAAAGCCTGATTTTAGAATGCAACATTTTTGGCATGTCTATTTATAAAGTCGGTTGGGATTTCTTTTTGTGTATCTTTATATATTCTCTTAGACTTGCAAGGCCTTTCTTCCAGCTATGATGGCCTGTAACCGTGGACACCTGGTTAGCATAGCCAGTGCAGGTGGATTTCTGGGACTCTACAGAATGACAGGTTAGTATTGTCAACTGGCATTACAAATTAGATCTGCATACTAATGACTTTTCTCAGAGACCTCAGAAATGCTTGGCTTAAGCAGTCTATACTGACGAGAACCTGTGGATGCCAAAGGTGATGGTGTACCAAAGTGTGATGGTGTCACATTTCCTGAGTGGCACAGGGAGCTCATTACAGATTTTACTGTCTGATTACAGACTGTCTTATCTCTGCAGAAGATAGACAGTACAGCTCACACGTGTGCAGTGGGAAGGAGCCCTGCATACAGGTTATCTAACTCTCTCATGCCAGGTTTTTTGCAGATAAATGTTCAGAGTCCTGAACCCATGCATGGATTATACCTTGAACTATACATTTAGTTGTAAAATGGTTTTCATGTCCAGAAGGCGTTTTGACAGAATTTTCAATAAAATTAATTTTAATGATGTGTGTTTTAAGCTATTTAACAGTTCTATTCTCAGCTGTTTCCCTCAGGAGAGCAGTCTGCACAGTCCTGCCTGTTTCAGCAGTCTGGGTCTGCTGCCTAGTCTGTCCTCAAGCCTCTCTTACATGTTGATTTTATCTCTGAGATCATCCTATGAGAATGTGAACTTCAGTGTAATAAGTAATTCTTGTTTCTTCTGCTGATTGATGATGTTTCTGTGGTGTTTATTTGCCACCTGTTCTCCTTGGGTCATATTTGGTATTGATAATGTAGGTCACATTCAGCTTTCATCCTATAACTGTAAGGCTTATGGGAGTGAACCTGCCTATCCATGCATTATAACCTTTTACACCTTAGCTATGTGTTTTTAGACTGTTCCATCATTCCCTGTGGGTGAATTCCTGAAGAACAGCAAACTATCTTTGATGCCAGTCTTTTAGAGAAATTTGATTTCATTGTATCTGACAACTATTTTCACACACATTTGAAAAAGCCTTAGGAAACCACATGTAAATCACTATATTACATTACTTTCTTACCGTTGCAGTTGTAGGATAATTTGTGTTGGAAGCAATCTCTGAAGGTCATTTGGTCCATATCCCCAAATAAAAGCAGGCCCAACTTAGATCAGATTGCACAAGGCTGTGCGGGGGCAAGTTTTGAGTATCTACAAGGATGGAGTTCCATACATTTGTCAAACAATAAAAATCAGACAAGATCCAGTCTTCCTGGCCAAACCAAATAGTATTGGAGTTGCAGGGCAAATCAGAAGAAGTAACAGGCTGAAGCAATATTTATAAGTAGTGTATTTATATTTTACCACTAGAAATAGTTCATTCTGAAATGAACCTGTGATATTAAAGGGTGAAGACATTCTGAACTGAAAGAATGCCTGGTTTGTATACAAGTGTCTGGAAATGTACTCAAAATGTTTAACAAGCTCATCTTCCTATGTCTCTCTCTAGTATACTGAAAAAAAACTTCTCTGGAAAGGATTAACCTTATCCTTAGACAACCATGCATCCATCATGGGAAGAGTCATTAACCTTAAGAGTTAGCGTCACCAATATGCTTAAAATTCTGATTGCAAGACTGCTAATTATTGAACTAAATCATATCATGGCTTAAATAGTATTACAAAGAATAGAATTCTGTATATAGCATTTACTGTGGTACTTTTTCTTCACTTTTCAGATTATGCCTCAAGTAAGTATGCAGTTATTGGAATGATGGAAGCCATAAATTCAGAACTGTATCATGCAGGAAAACATGGCATTAAAACCACAATCATTTGCCCTTATTTTATTAACACTGCATTAACTAAAGGTCTCAAAAATGGGTAAGTAAAACTTAGATTGTGTACTATTTCATATATATAAAAAAGTAATCACTACTCACTAAACATATCATATTCAATCTCTAGCTGGTTGATTTGATTTTCAGTTCAGCATATTTTCCCTATTGGCACATACAACTATGTCTTTTGACATAAAGAAATGCAAGTCTTGCATACAGCTAATCATTGACATGCAACAGGGACTGTGCAATAACCTCACAGTCAAGGAACGGTTAGGGATGTGCAGCAATCATTAAGGGTTAAGGGAGCCTTATTTGTCAATAGAACAGGCACTTCTGTGCTTCTCTGCCCCAAGGAATTGTGGCAGACTGTCAGGATACCCATGACCTGTCATTATTAACTGTACCTCACTGTATGTATTAGCAGGTACTGTAGTTCTCGGAGTGGAAGAGCTGTGGTGACAGTATCTGGTGGATGGCTCTATGGTTGCAGTGATGGGAGAGGCTGCAGGTGCTGCATTAGCCATTGCAGTAATGCAGTTTTCTGCACTCTTCGTTTTACAGTGCTGTGCTCCTGCTTCCACCATTCATCATCCTGCCATAGCATATGTCACGCCAAGCACAGCCTTTCTCTTGGCTGGAGACAAGCCTGGTCCTGGTCCGTTTAGCTGTCACCTCAGTATCTACAGTAGAAAAGGAGGAAGTGTGTGGAGAGCAGAACTATTATGCATAGAACAGCATATAGTATGCCTAAGCTTGGAAGTTTTCAATGCTGCAATCACTGTGGGCATTTACTTCATTAGAGTTGGCTTGCACAAAAGTCATTAAAATTCCCGACATCAGGAAAGTTTTCAATTTATTTTGACAATAGCAGGAACAAATAGGTTTGGAGATTCCTTTTCAAGAGGGAAAGGGGGTAAATTCATAAATGATTTAATTATGTGTGTGTTAGAATACATCTCAAGAGTGGTCTTATAATTTCATAACACTTATTCCTTTTTTTTTCACAGAAGCTCCTTTTTATTTCCTATTTATGATGCAGAGTATGTAGCCAGCAAGATCATTGATGCAATTAAAAAGGAAAAGTTTTATCTTATCATGCCTCTAACTGTACACTTTTTTGCTTTAAAAACGTAAGCATGTGCTTGTGTTCTAGCTTTGCCTTCTTTCCTTTGTCATATGCCTGTAAAATCAGCAGGA